ACAATAAAGGTACATTTTTTTTTAAAAGCCTGCAGATATAAATATAAGCAAGTATTTTCAGGGGCCTTTATAATACATGAAAAGAACCCTTTGGAAATAAAAATCTGTGCCACTGAAATTACTGTCTTCACTATGGCTTCATAGAAGATAAAGTGAGAGATGAAGAAGACTCCACTTGCATGCTTTCTGCACAGTTTTTGATGATTCAACTTCAAGCTTTTTTCAGTTTCTGATCTTTGAGTGTCACACTGCAGCGATACTTAAAAGGGCCTCAAGTCTGACTTCATCACATTATCAAATATGGAATATATGATTGCTAAGAATATGCTGTTAAAAGAATTAGTACAAAATCATCCATTGTGCAAATCTTATTTTGTCCTGTGTTCTCAGTGCTGAATGGGATCAAAATCTGGCTTTTTGTATATTATACGTAATGCTGAATGAACTTTCTACAATTATATTCTTCAGGTATCTTCTGTGTGAGAAACTTCTCAAGTTGCCAGTTGGTCTGTGATGACCTCTGATAATCAAACTACAAATTGCCCTCTCTCCATCACTCATCCAGACTTGTCTCATAATCAAGTTTTCTACAGAAGATTGCTAATTATCCAAATTGCCATTTCATATTTGTCCCTAAGGTTATATAGTTATTTCTCTACAAAGAGGTGTCTCCCACTGTGCATTTTTTCGTGATGGCAAAGCGTGACTGGACTGCTGGTCTGAGTAGCTGGAATGAGAAGAGGGAACTTCACTGCTTTTCCTTTTACCCATTTCAAGTGATTGTTCTTGTATTATTTATAACTACAAATTGATTTAAAGTTAATTCATTTTTCTTAGTGGCATTAATGAATACAAGCGGTCATTTAATGGTGTGTTTTGCGTATACTTTCTCAACAGCAGCGTTGGCCATTAGGAAGGTACTAGGGTGGTACATGACTGAAGTTGAAAGCAGGATTAAAAGGAAAGCAATTTGCAGTAACATTAACCAAGCTGAATATAATGCCTATATCTCATTCAGGAAACAGGCTCTGTAAGAGCGGCAGAATTTTCCCCTTTTGCTTGTCTTGATTGATTTCTGCTGCTTGCAAGTGCCTTGTTCAGCCCTTACAGCGAGAACACTGTAAAATGCTCCGTGTGTGTGTGTGTATTATATTGCGTTTTTCTGACATACGTATACACACACATATGTACTGTCTCAAGAATGAAAGACTAGGAATGAATACTTCATTCTTGTCTAGTTCTGTGCTAACAACATAAAGCAATTATACAGTGTATGTTGTATGCTTCCAAAACTGTGAAATACTTGTGTTCAGCAGCACTAAGGTGTGAGCACCAGATAACAGCTTTTATTTGAAGAATTTTAGCTCTCAGTGTTTCCCTAAGACTTTGACTCCTTAGTTTCCTAAAGTTTTCTTTCTTTCTTAGCTTTTTGTTTCTCCACAGCAGCACAGAGGCCTATTCTTACTGAATGAGAACCACAGGCTGTCTTTGATAGCCGCCAGGATTGGGATTCTGTAGTTAATAGTTATTCCATGTATTTGGAATTTCAGTGGTCATCAGTGGCCACTAAAGGGCTGAATATTGTTGATGTAGCTTTGTTTAAGATTTGATCAGTCTCTTATTTCCCTCCCTGCCATTCACATGTACTAATAAGCCTATGAAGCAATTTCCATGATAGCAGAGTAATGAGGAAAGGAGCACCTGCCTTTTATTCTGAATTGAGTACAAAGGCATATTTGTTCTCCCTTTTCCCTATCCATCCCAGTCTGTGCACATCCAAGTATGGGGTAGCTACAGTCTTTTGCCCCATGCTTTCTTATGGGAGCATGACGCTTCTCTTTCTCAAGCCGTCTACCAGTGGTAAGGTACTAAATTTGTACTACTTTGGGCAAGATCAGTCACGTCCATTGAGCTAACTCCAGCTTGTGTTCATGGCTCCTTTCAAGATGAATATTATCACTTCTTGGAAGTAAAGCAGGGATGTGACCAGAGGAGTCTCATCCAGCTTTAATTTACAGTAAGTTCTTAGAAGTTGCATGAATATTTCTCAAGAATGAAGAGCCTTGAAATTGCTTGGTCCACAGGGTAAAAAGACTTCAGTGTGTAATATTCTTAATTGTTTTTAGAAAGAGGAAATTGAACACCAAAACATTCCAAAGGAAGCAAGCCTTTTAAGTGATCCTAAATCACTGGGGTGCTTTAGAAAATAATTTCAGTGTAAGTTGAATTTTTAATTGCCTGCCCCTTCCTCTTCCTGTCGTGGTACTTTCATCCCCTCTGTTTTCCTGGAAGAGAACATTGTTGTTGCCGTCTATTTTAAGAAATTCACTGGAATTTCTCCTGCAGTGCAGCAAAATGTCAGGGCTGGATATGCTTTAATATGCTGTATTATGAATATTTTTTATATCTTTGTAATTAAAGAAATGAAGTTTTAATGACTGCTCTCTTATAAACCCTGGACTGTTGCATTTGCAACATAAGAAGCTCAGGACAGACAACGCCAGGTGCAGCTGGAATATTGCTGCAGCCCCACAGCATTATTTTTTTTTTTTAACATTATTCAAATTAGTCTCAACACTCATAATTCTGTTGTTTCCTTTATTGCTGTTGTAAAGCAAATGGTTCTTTTATACAAATGTTATCTCCTGGCTATTAATTCAGCTGTTATTTTGGATTATGGCACTCCTGTTAAATTTAGGAATGTAAAATCTCATAAATATTTAAAAGTTTCAGACTGACGTGGGAAGAAATTGTTTTTGACTTGCTTTGTTAATATCCTGTTGTTCAATTTGTAATAGATTTGGAATATATTGTTATTTCTCTATTGTTTGAGAAAAGGAAAAATAGTCACAGTTGAGCAACTGCTTCAAGTGTTCGCACTTGAATTGTAACAGGTCGGTAAATACAATTTTTGTTCAAGTGGAAAATTGCAAGGGAAATATCTGTTTTCCTTTGAGAGAACAACAACAGAAAAAAAGTTAAAACTAGTCAGAGCCCACTTCATGGCTAGTGAAAATGCAGCAGTATGTTTGTAAGGATGGTTTCAGTAAAGCAATTCCAAGCAGGGCTGGTTACAGTGAAGTTGTTCTGTTTCAGCGTTTTTCCTCTTTAAACTTTTCTAAGAAATAAATAAAATGGACAAATGTTTTTCTTCCATTGTAGATATTTTGAATAGAGTACATTTACTACACAGTGAGTCTATCTGTAGAGTAAAGATTAGTATGCAACCTGGGTATCCTCCAAACTCTGAATAATAACCAGGGGATAAGAAGCCAGAGTTTTTGCTGACCAGTGAAGGTCTAGGAGGACGTAGTTTGGAGCAGCATTCCTGTTTCACGTCTAACAGCATCTTCATTCATTCTTGACATTGGAATTGAATGCGTAGCTTTTCAGACAGGTATTAAGGAATATTAAGTCATAAATCCTGTCAGTGTCATTAATAACTATTTTAAATTTTTCAACAACTGTTCCAAAAAAGATGTTGAGTTGGTTCAATCCTGATCAGCAGGCTGACAAAGCGGGCAAAGTACGTATGCAGTTAACCAAGCTTGCTTCTCTCCTGCATGCTCCCTAAGTTGTTCAGCTGTGTCTTTGGCTTGATGGGTTTGTTTCATTTCCCACATCAGTTAACCTCAGTGGTATAATATCGTGACTTTTTGTGGTATGGGCACTGAACTGAACAGAGAGCTTTCTCTAGCTAGCAGCCAGGTTGGTACTGCAGTGTCACTGCTGTTGAACGGCAGATTTGTACTCTCAGCTCTTATAACGTATGGCCGAACCAGCTTAATCTTCATGTAAAGAAATAATTGAGATGACAGTTTTCTTTTGTCTAGAAAAACCTTTTTTTCTTTTTAATGACTTGTCATAGTTACGGTGCAATATTTCAAAGTTCAAGTTTTCAAAAGGAAGCTGTTAAGTGATCGTGTACAAGCTGTAGTTCTGAAGGTGAACTTAGAATGGCATGAACAAATGGGTATTTTTACATGCACATAATGAGCTGGATGTGCCATGCTAGCTGACTCCAGGCAAGTTTAACAAATTCAGCATGGTCCAGCTCTTGGCCTGTAAGGCAGACCCGGCCCCTCTGTGAGCTTTCTACCTGACCTATCACCTTCTTGCTGCTGAAGAGAGCAAACAGATGCTTCTTCAGCAGAGGCAGACTCCTCCACCTGCCTTCTCTGGGGAGATGAATAGCAGCTCTGGAGGGGCGTAAGGAAGGGCAAGCAAATCCTTCGGGGCTGCTGGCCCCCCCCACCTGGTTTCTGCAGATGCTGCCACCAGGCCACCCAAAGCATGACCATGTGCATGACAGTATTCATGAGCCAGTCCCACACACTCCCTCATTCATTTTTTTCTGCACAAAAAGCTCATTCCTCTATTACAAATGGAATGTGAATCTGCTATCATATGGAAGAAAGAAGATATAAGGCTTTTGCTATAGCTTATTGACTTTTTTTTTTTGTTCTTCTGAAAGCTATTTTTGCTATGTGTTTCTTGTATTACTCTTGGTTCTATGTGAACCATATAAAGCCAACAGTTCTTGTGTGCTTATAAACTTGAGGACATTTGGATGAGAAAATTCTGCAGAGCAGTATATTTACTTTGCATTTCTGAATGGTAGCAATTAAAATTCACAGCTGCTGGCTGTCCAGATGTTTCTCACATTACAGCATTGTAATTTGCATTGGAATATATTGTGTTACTGCAGTAGCTGTTAAGTGGTCAGCTCTTCCAGCCCTAACTGCTGTATGTGAGCTCCACATACAGTCGGGATGTATTTTCCACTTGCGTCTGGTTCTTCTCTTTCCCCCCGTTCCCTACCTTAGTTAGCCTGACCAGTCTGTATTTCTCAGATGAAGGCTTTGTTGCTTGGAATTCACATACAGCAGGGGACATATTGGCAGATCAGAGCAGACGTACGGGTGGTTTCTTTTAAGAGAGACAGGAAAAAAGGACCTAGCTTTGAATCAGAACTTTCCCTTTCCCTTTGGCATTTTCAGACTGCAAACATCCCTCTGGTGTCAGAGCTTGGCATTGATGACATCCATTTTGATGACTTCTCACTCGATGTGGATGCCATGATTATTGCAGCCCTGAGGATGTTCATGGAACTTGGAATGGTTCAGAAATTTAAAATTGACTACGAGGTAACCATCTGTTCTGCAGAGATATCTGCTGCTTCCATGTTGGCACTGCTCTGTCCATTTGCACGCGTTTAGTAGCCCTGATAAAATTTGTACTTTTCATTTCAGACGCTGTGTAGGTGGCTTTTGACAGTTAGGAAGAATTATCGAATGGTTTTGTATCACAACTGGAGACATGCTTTCAATGTGTGCCAACTAATGTTTGCCATGTTAACTGTAAGTATCCCGCTACAGACACAATCCCATAAGATCTTTTAGTGCTACATTCCTTACCTGTCTAAATGTTTTCCAATGTGTTTTTCTGGTTGTTATGATATTCATTCGTTTGCAGTAGATATGCACACAGAACTAGGTTATTCAACTTAAGATGGCATGTGTTTGGCAAAACCTTATAGTGTTTTAGTGACAGTGATATCACAGGCATATTAAAGTGACTGAAAACAGATGAAAGTCTTGGATTAAGCTTGTTATTATGGATCTTCATCTTACAATAACGCTTTCCTTTTGGAACTCTTTAATTTGACATTTATTTTGGACTGTTAAATTGAGATATAAAAAACATGGAGGATTTAGAAGAATTATTTATTTTGTTGATATTTAATATTTTCTTCTCCCATTTCATCCAAGCTGTTGTGAAAAATACTGCCTAAAAACATTAAGATCATCTTCCTCCATAGTGATCTATGTGAATCTTTTGTCTTCACTGGACACTGTAATACTGGTGCGTTTTGTTTACTTCTATCACCATCAGTAGCTATAACTTCTCTCAGCTACAAGTTAATTCTGTTCAAAATACCAGTGCTTTTACATTCTCTCTTCCTACCCCACATCAACCTTGCCACTGTATATTATATATAAATATACCATTACATATATATATTATATAAATAATGAATATTTAATTAGTTAATTCTTGCAAACATATCTGTAAAAAGACCATGGTTCTGATTGTTTAAGATTCTGCTTAATATGGCAACAGAGAAGCAATGTGTCTCTGTGCATACAACACTTTTCATTGTGCTTTTTAATTTTTTTTCCATATCTCCAGATAAAATTTCAAATGAAATGAATATTTTAGGCTCTAGTAAAACTGTGATGTTCATAAGATGATACTTCAACAAGATGGTTGATGCATAAGCTTATGTTATATAATTAGAGGAGCATTTATCACTAAAAAGCATCTTAGAATATTTTCATGAGGAACCAACAAAAGGAGGATCCCCAAAGCAAAGGTTGCATTTTCAAATACAAGAACATTTCCTATGGACAGAGGAACAATCTTCTGACTTAATTACTGAATTTTTACATTCTTGTTGCTGCTGAGATGCCAGCATGGCCAGCGTTTGCATGCTATCAGCCTGTGTGTGTTATCAGTGGAGCCTGCACTGCCTGTGCTAATCATACAGTGATTAAAAACACCAGATTGGTCTGCTGCCACTGAAATATTTCCACTGTGTTACATAGCCTTTAGATGGGCTGTAGCATGTTAACTCTACATAGGGCACAGTTGGCTTGGATTTCCAGCTGTTGTTCCTGGTTGGGCAGCACAACCAGTACCTTAAAGAAAAAGCAGAGCATGAGGTCCTCAGGCAGGTAAATGACATCGGCGATGTGCTAGGTCTGTCCTGCAAGTTGTGTGGGTTAGGTTCTGTGAGCAGTTAGGGAGTGTAACAAGCTGTGAGGCAAAGCAGACAGAGACCTCTGATGAGAGTGAGAGAAGTCATCCCTTCTCTTGGGAGTGGAGATTGTGCGGCTGGGTGCAACCAGCCACATCTTCCTATGGACACTTTCTGTTGGTCTTAAATGAAAACTCATTGTAACGTGGGCACTGGTAGTTTCTAAAAGTGTTATGAGCGTGGCAAGCCTGTTGTTAAGTTATATAAAGATAGAAGGGTTTTCACTCTGAGCAGTAAGAGTCAAGTCAGACAACGTCTGGGGATTGCTGCCGAACGCTGCCGGGAGCGAGGCAGCCGCAGCCCCCGTCTCCACACAGCTCCTCTGCGAGGGGAAAGCGTCCTCTAGATGGAGCTCCGAGGCCGGCTTTGAGGCAGGTTTTGTTTTGGGTAGAGGAGCCCTTTCCTACCGGGTACCTCCGTCTCAGCTGGAGGCGGCCAAATCGCAAATCCGCAGCCAGCAGGGAGGAGGAAGATCGCGATTTCTTCAACAGCCAACAGCAGGCCAGCGAGGCTGAACTCTGCGACCGCATTCAAAGCTTAATTTCAGGATGCGTTTAAGCAAGCAGTGTGGGAGCACACATATCTGTGGGAGGCGATCTAAGATTTTCAAGCTCAGCTCATTTCAGTACATGGGCTTCTAGTGAGATGAGCAGGCAGTTCCAGGCGGGCGGCACATGCACCAGAGTCTTTTGACTGTGCCACGTCTTGTCCTGCTTTGCTGTGGCTTTGGTGCAGAACAAAAGCAAGCCAGGCAGTCTGGGACCTGCTTTGGCTGCTCTTGCTTTCAGAGATAGGAAGACTGATTTTGTGAAAAGAGACATAAAAGCGAAAGTCATGAGACTAGTAATAGCACAAGGTTTGCACGTATTGCATTTTTCTTGGGAGAGCCATCCTGCTTAGTATGCCTCATTGTTTGCTTTTCATCTGCAAGAAGGGAAAATTCTCTGCCTTGTAGAGATACTGATTTGTGCCCGGTACTCTGTTGCAGGGTTTGTGTATATGAATATGTCAATATGCAAGACCCTTTCCTAAAGTTGTTGTAGTCTTTTTCTGGTTTTTCCATGAGAATCAATAATGTAATCTGCACCACAAATATAAATAAATAGGTCTATTTTAGGGAGTTTTCATGAAGGGTTAGCCTAACAGATTAGACATTACTACATTACATGCTAACAAGATTTGCCTCTGATGGCCTCACCACACTCTCATTGAAAACAGAAGCAAAATCCGGCTGGGCTAAACAAGCCAACAGAAATCCTGCGATGCTTAAACCAGGTGTGTCAGCCTTCTGTATGTGTACCATATATTCCTGTATGTCTAAATATAGATTTTGTTCTTTTCAAGACACTGGAGAATTATAAACCCAGTCCTGTGAGCCATGCTTCAGGCTCACCCAAATATTCTGAAGACGAGCACTGAAGCAAGGCTGCTCCTCCGAGTTAGGAATGTCGCGTGAGAGTAAACCACAGGATGAAGCCCAGCTTTGATAATCATATTAATACTTTGCTCAAGAAGTGAAAATGAAAACGTCAGTAATATAAAATTAAAATCACATCTGGTGTGCTACTAACAAAACATATAATGTGGAGCAAGGTATAACAAATGCAATTCATTTCCTCACATGAGAGAATGACCTCCATAACTCACTGGAGACTCTGCCACTCGTGAGTTATGGGTCATTTTTTTTCTGGTGAAATTTTACTGTGCCATCGTATACAGCTGTGCATTTTTTTTTCTCTCTGTAAATTCAAAAAATGAGGAAATGTGATTCTCTGCTCTGAACATAATGCGAAAAGAAAAAAAAAGATCCTCTTACAATGATGTTTTAAATTGAACGTTCTTATTAAGTAAGATATGCTATATTTCTCTCATACACTCTATGACAATATTTTTGATTAAATGTTGAACTTATTTTCAAGATATTGCTACTGTTAATAAATTCCTTAATCAGTCTCCCTGCATTTATGATACAGGTTGAGTCTTTGAGTTTAATCAAAGCTTCTGTTATGCTGAAGGCTATTTATTACAGTATCAACATTCTATTATGAAACCTCTATTTTAAGTTGCTTTAACTCAGCATGAATGCTTTCTCTAGGCTGAAAGCTGACACATGGTATGTTGTCAGTTAGAATCCTCTTTTCAATTTTTTTTTTCCCTAAATAGACCTTTATTATTTTTGTTATACAAGAGCAATATTTAAAGAGTAAAACCAGAAAACACTATTTTTTAGATAACTTCCTCTGCCTGAGTGTCTAGTACTGGAATTTTAAGAAGAATCAGGAGAAGCCCTTTTGTAATAGTCAGGTTAATCTGTACACCAGTGGATATTACATGAATGGAATCTTTTTTCCTCATATTTAGTTATCTTTTTAGACGTATAAACTTTGCACAGTTATAAAGCATTTGTAGCAAGTCCTGCACTTCCATCATTCATGCTAAAATGTACTTTTGAGCAACCTGGAGCAGGGTTGATTCCCTGTACTGCTTAAGAACTAACTGCAGCCACATTTTAAACTGTGAAAACAGAGAATATTTGCATTTAAATATGTATTTATTTAAGTAGAATTTATGATCTTCCAAGTGAATAGCAAAGTTCTCGCTTGGTATTGCAACAATGACTGGCATCTCTGAGTGAGCTGTATGTTCCTGCGGAAGTGCAAGGACATCAAATCCCACTGTTATTCACTGTCTTTGTATCACTTAATGCTCTTCTTGCCAGAGAGTGAAATTATGCTCCACTCAAAAAATCAGCAGAATTCAGAATTTCTTACATACTGTTCAAGTTAGGTTTTGTCTTCCAAAATAAATTGTTTCTTTTATACAATTTCCTCTCTTGCTAACTGGATCATGTGGCTAGTTGGAGAATGTGGTTCAAGCCTGATGCCATGGACAGAAAAGGATTAACAGTTTTCCATTTCAGTCATTGTTGCAGGCAATATGCCCTGAATCTTCTGAAGAGTTGAAGAACCATGTTGTTTCTGTTGTGGGTAAGGTGCACCGGGCCTACAGTGTCCCAAACAGCTTTCAGCACCTCCTCAGACATGAGCTGTTCAGGGTGCTTGAGGTTAGCAATAGCGGTGGTGCTTCTCTGTCATGAGGCAGTTCAGGCTATTGCACATCTTCTGTACAAGAAGAGGTATAGGGGCAAAAAATATTTGTAGGGATTCACACTGGCATATCTGGTCTGAATTGGCTGTGGGGGATTTCAGTGCATCAAATTTCAAAACTTTATATCAAATTCAAGTGGGCATCTGCAGCAGAATTATGCCTTTTGAGATATTTCCTTCTAAATCATGTCACTTCATTTCACATGTCTCAGATAACAAATCTCTTAACTGTTCATACCAGTTCCATAGAGTATATTTCAGCTGGCATCTTTTATAGGTCTTTTGATTTAACAAATTAGATATCTTTGACAGTAGGGATTAACTAAAATGGCCACCTCAGAATTGAAGAAATCCGTGTTAAAGTACTTACTGAACAATAATTTCCAAATGAAATCAATTTTGGTTTGTAGTTCTCTGGTAAGAGATTCCAGTTCCTGTCTTATTGTGTAGTTACTGGTGTTTGTTTTCAGCTCTTTTTGCCATTGCTGCTTTCTGGGTAGTGGGGGAATGCCATGCTGGAAATGCAATGGAGAGATGATAACACATCACTCTAAGGACGTATCTGTTCTGCTAACCATCTAACATGCAGCGGGGAACATAATATGACAGTAAAGCATTTATCTTCTCTTTACTGATATGTTCATGCTATCAAAACAAAGTTGGCTGTTGCTTGATGGACTAACATTACTTATCCCTTTTGCTACTGATAGTTACAGCTGCTATTTTTTTCCTTTTCTCAGACAGCAGGATTTCAAGAGATTCTGACTGAAATTGAAATTTTAGCTTTGATTGTGGGATGCTTGTGTCACGACCTTGACCACAGGGGAACCAACAATGCCTTCCAAGCCAAGTAAGTTTTCTAATTCTTATTACTTTAATTTGTTTTTCTTCCACAGAAGAGCAAAAGGTGAGCAGGATAAAGAATGAAGCATTAATTTCAGGCCTCCCAGGCCAAGGCCAAGTATTCTTATTCCTGTACATAGTGAGGGACTATCCATCTTTATAATTCTCTGTTCTTTGGGGTAATTGCTGCCTTGTCCTTTGTATCAGGCTGTTGATTGGGTTAATCCTTGTGAGCTGACACAGAATATTGAAATGTGGTGCCAAAACTTGATGTTCCTCTCTTGCTCTGTTATTATTAATTCTGGTATTCGACTCAGAAAATACTGAGACAATCTATCTGGGTTTCTCGCTGTCTGGAATGCATTAAGTTAAGCATAACCTAGCTAAGCAATTAAAAAAAAAAAAAAAGGTTAGAATGAAATCCTGCTTTCCCATCAATTTTCAAAATAGTTTAGGCAAGCACAGCATATAATTCCTGGCATACAGAGTATGAAACTGCTACCATCATGCTGGAGCTCTGCTGCATATCGTCTGCAGTAGGTGGGCTGCTCCTGGTTTGTAGAAATGCCACCTCCTTGCCTGCTCCATATGCCAGTCCTCAGAGTTCCATATGCTTGGAGTCCTGCTGCCACAGGCAGGGTTGGGCTGGCTGCTCCTTGACATGGTCAGTACCCACTACAGCACAAGGCTGGATCTCACAGGCAGATTGTTACATTACCTAAGTGAAATCTTGCTCTCCAGACCATTTTCAATTCCAAAAGTGAATGTCATTCTATTCAAGTTGCTTAAGACCTGATCCAGCAGCCCTGACTCATGTTTGTTTTTACCATCCAAGCTGCTACCCTTAGATGTGTTGCTGAAATAGCAGCAGGCTAATGGAAAGTTTGAGGGTACGTTGTAGAGTGATACGATAACTCTGTTTACCAAGATCAGATTGTTTCCAAAATCTGGTTTTGAAAGACAGTAGGAATTGCCTGTTTGCTGCAGTGTGTAATATGCACTGGCTGCTGCGTTTCTGGGGCTGAGTATCCTTAGTGAACATCACTCATATTGATGTTTCTGATGTTTGCTAAGCTGCCATTTCCTAAGCTATTGGTGCTGCTATACGATCTCAATGAAACAATGACACTGTCTGTATCTTCAATCACTATAGCAAGGAAAATCAATTGCTGTGCTCAAAAGAAAGAGCTCGTGGTGCAAAGGTTACCAAGCACCGCTAGATGCCTGTTCGCAGCTGAGTCTGGAGGAGAATCAAAAAAGATGAGACAAATGGGAAGCTCAGCTGATTGATGTTTATGTTCCTAATTTACCAAAATGAAACCTAAGATTTACATCCAGGCCATTTTAGGCTCTGATTAAGTTAACCACTTCTCTACTGTAACATTGCACAGACACATCTCTTGTGCAGAGAGATAGCTGACTTAAAGGCAGAGATTTCAGCATCAAACTGCTATCACTTAAACTTCCTTGACAACCGAGACTGCCATTTTATGACTCCATAAAGAAATTGCTGAAGACATTTAACAAAAGACAAAGATTCCCACACATACAAAATATCCCTGAAAATGGAAGCTGTAGTTTTCATAGCAGCAGCTATGATTTATTTCTCTAACTTGGCTTACAAATTTAAGCACGTTTTCTTATTTTGTGTTCAGCGCTACTGTTCTGTGTTCTGAAAGTTCAAGAGGTATACAGTGAAGGCAATATCACAGCTGTCTGAAATGTCTCTGTTATATATCTCAACACCACATTCTCTAGGGATGATGTTTCCTGGACATCTTTCTCTCTAATATAGCTGCTTCTGATAATTAAATAGCAGTATGGTGCAGTTTTATAGTTTATTTTCCTAGGAGACTCTTTCTGTTTGTCTCTAGCATAATCTCTTGTTCTCATTTCTTTGGAAAGAAAACCCATCTTGTCACTCTAGGCTGGGTCCCAGAAGTGAAGTAATGATGAACAGTAACTATTCTGACAATCCAGTTCAATTCTCTGCACCTCCCAACAATTCTCAATTTAATAACTGTATTTCATAGGTTTTTGTTCTTTAAACTTGGGAAACCCAACTGCTCTGTGCCTTTAGAAGCTTTATTTTGTTTTAGATAATAAGCATGATAAAAAAATACATTCTAGACAGATGGCAAACTTTACTTTTACATTTACTACTCTCAGTGCTGTTTTTTGGTTACATTAGTATTTTTTTTAAGTGTGTGCTTTTAGATATAGACAGAACCTCACTGCATTTCAACTTGTTTTTTTGTTTGTTTTTAAAGATATGTAATCACCTTTTTGTAAGCCTTTTTTTGTTAATATCTACTAATAACTGAAAATTAAAAGTAACAGAAGAGTCAATCTCTTGACCCCTGCTCAAGGCTGATACAGTCTGTTTTTACTGCACAGTGCTGTGCTGCAGCGCTGCTAAGGCTCCTTGGAAGCTGCATTCCATAACTTTGTTCCAGGAACTATCTTTAGTCAGCTGGTGGTATTTAGCATAAACATAAATGCCATGTATTTGGCTATAAATGACTATTTTGATCTGGCCAACTCTCAAGTGTGGTCGCTGACATGGATAAGGGTAAGTATGACTGCATGCTTTCATTACTAAATTCTGTCTGAAATCTGCTTTGTAAGCAACTGAGCAGCATTTGTTGACTCCCTGCATTCTGTTTCAGGAGCGGATCAGCCTTAGCTCAGCTCTACGGCACCTCTGCTACCTTGGAGCACCACCATTTCAATCATGCTGTCATGATTCTCCAAAGTGAGGTACAAAGCATTACTATTAATCTCACTATAAGCTGTTGGGCAGTTTCAGCCAGGGAAAGGAAATACCACATACAGTACCTTCTTAATGCCCTCTCCTTGAGGAATTATTTATTGGATACCTCAAAGGTCACAACTAGCACAAAATTAAACAATTACAAATGCTGATCGTAGATCCCAGAGATTATATCTGTCTCAATCAGCTAGGGGCAAGAAGAATATATCCTAATCATGTTATCAGTTTCTCTGTCTTACACAGATACTGTTGAAGGCCTTATAGTTAGGTAAAATGCTCTTACCTTTCCCCACAAGTGTTGTGTTGCACTCAGTCTATCTGAGTCATCCTTTACTGGTTCTGCGTTATTTTACTAAATGTTTGTGGGTTTTTTTTAATTAACATCAGCAATATTGCACTGTCCAAAATACACTAGCTGCTGTGCAGATTCCTATAAATACATAGTTCCTGCCTAGAACACCTTCTGCTCAACAATATGCAGGTTACACTGCCCTAGAGGTGTTATAAGAGGGAGTAGAGAGACACATAATCTTTATGAAGAAAATGGATGTATTTTGTTAATTTACAGATAGCTTGTTACAAAAGGTGTTCAGTATATATAAAAAGTCTTATTCATGCAGCACTATTAGAGACTATTCTGATGTGCACTAACTTTTGAAGGGCGTGGGATTGTCCATGATTATAGGCAAAAGGGAAAAGGGAACTGGGTAATGCCTTGACTCTGTATGCAGTGTCCACAATCAGTGGTCTAAGATTGACCTCTGGGTTTTAGTGTCCAGTTTTTTAACATAATATTTACAACATAGACATGGTAAAGGAGAGCCCTGGCATGAGATTTAAACAATTCAATCTGCTCAGTTAAGATGATCCCCTAGTAAATGGCTCTTTATCTAGCAGAGAAAGACAACAAAAAGCAGCATTTGAAGGCTAAATAGACCAGTTCACAGGGAGTAGGGAAAAGGAAAGTAGTGGTTTTTTTCTTTTTTTTTCTTTCCTTTTTTGTTTGTTTGCTTGTTTTCTTTAAACCAATGAGACTGTCTGTTCAAAGAAGCCTTCTTAGCTCTTCAAGTCTTCAGGACTGACTGAATGCCCTTCTGAAAACATGCTTAAGACATGGACAACTCTGTGCAAGTTTATAGCTCATGTCAGACTAGATTACAACACCACTTCTTTTGAAATAAATACAGATTTGGATCCTCCAAACTACTTAAATAGGCATATCAACTTGTGCAAGCTGAGCAGTTTGTTTCTTGCCTCGAATATGCTAAAATTAGATGATATCCTATGCACTAATGTTGATATCCTAGTCTGGTTTGGCTATCTAAAATTAAACATAGAATAGTGCATGATTACTTTGAATTTTTATCATGCTGGAAAGACGAGCTATTTATTCTCTACTTCTGTCATGCTAACCTCAATATAAGTGATTTTGAGCTTTGTGCTGGCATGGTTTTACACATGATAAAGCAGATCAGAAATGTAAAAAATAAAAAAATTACAGATTGACAACTTGCTAAATTGCTCCTGTTGTAATAGCCGCTGTTTTCCTCATACACCTTGCTTTGCTTTTTTTTTATTTATGTTAAATTTGTTCTTCTCAAATTTTACATTTTCAAATCCTTTTCAATGCTTATTTGCTCAATTTCACTGTCACAAAGGCCATGTTTTATGCATGGCAGTTCTATTTTTTAGACCAACAATGAGCTAACTTATTAAATAAATAAATAAGAACCAACTCTCCCTCCAAACCTTGCCTTGTCTGTCCTCAGACATTCATGGCTGTAACAATCCTATCTCTGGAAAATTCTTGCTTTTAAGTGCATTTTATTATTCCTTAGCAGTATATGGCAGTACGTACTGAATGTTTGCATTACACTGCTAAATGCCACCAAAATAAGACTCTGTTTACCAAGAACAACACTGATTCTATGGGTGATTTCATAGAGAAATTGTAGAATCTCTGTCCCTATTAGTTTTCAGAATTTCAGTTACAAAATACCTCTCTGCTCTTGAATAGCAATAACCAACTAGTTTGTATCCCTTCATTCTGGCTATGGAGCAATTTTCAAATTCTTAAGCCCATTACCCCTGTAGAATATCCTATCAGACCTTCAAACCACAGAAAGTTGTGCTCTTCAGCCTGTGCAGGGAAGGCTTGTGTATGTGGTAAGAATGCAGTAATGGGTCAGAGAGAGCAAACAGGCTGTTTTGAATGAAAAACTGATTTAGTGTCTTTGACTGCTCTAACAGCAGTTTGTGTGCCTGCAAGCAGCAGCACAGATAAATCTATTAGGAGCACAACTCAAAAGCTGAAATGCCCAGCTCCCAGAAACATTTAATAAGAGGAAAGATTGAGATGTATCCGTAGTTTTCCTCCATAAACTGAGTCTGTGCAGGGTAGGAGTAAAGAGTAAATCTTTCCTCAAGAGGCTATAATTTCAGCAGAGTTTAGTAAAACATCCCAGATACTTGATTACAATTGTCAAATCTTACACCCCGATGTAATCTCCACAGTGTTAACATTATTATTTTGTCATAGATTTGCCATGAATCAGAAAAGGCCTCTGCTAGAGAGAAACAGTAGACTGTTAGAAAGAGTTAGAAAACCTTTTAAAAACCGATATTGATTGCTAGTCCTTTACCTTCTTTATCTCTTTCATTATAGGGTCACAACATCTTTGCTAACTTGTCCTCTAAGGACTACAGTGACCTTATGCAGCTTCTAAAGCAATCGATATTGGCAACAGACCTCACTCTGTATTTTGAGTAAGTACTGGCATTTCTTATATGTGAGAAACGAAAATTCGAAGCATGCATCTAACAGCCTATTAAATACTAATAAGGATGTATAATATGAACAATTAATATTTAGCTGTGGTTGAAAAGATTTAGTCTAATACTTTGTGTATCTTAGGCTAATAGAAATATCTCAAGTGTCTAACTAAGTTTTGCTTTAATGCGTAATGTCTACGTCAACAAAAGACAAGGGAAAAGTTCTGGGCTCATACTTCAAAGCAATCCCAGGAATCAGCTACAGTTTGCTGCCATAATTCTTCTGTCCCTTACGCGATATTTCTTCAGACATGTAGAAAATCAATGACATTTCAGAATTCTTTTCCACCATCTTAGAGTTTCCAACAATCTATACTAAAAATATTGTATTTAATAAAAAAGATGAGTAATGAGGTAATGAACATACATTTTGCTTTTTGAAGATAAATTGTATCGGAAGAGAAATATGTTGTGGAAAGTTTAACTCTCTGTTTTTCTCATCTGCAAGTCAGATCTCTTAAGTAGTCTTTAAGTTGATGCTATGGTATGTTTTCAAGCGCTGTTATTACCAAGCTATATTTGCAGTAAGACTGCAGTGTGTATGTGGCTGGAGGAGTCATGATGTCACCACCATGTGATGTGGCTGGAGCCTGCTCTCTGGCATGTACCTGGCTGACTTGCAGGGAGAGCACCATCAGGTGTTCAGCTTTGGGGTGCTGCCTATGAAACCTTGGATCACTGGGCTAAGGTGAATGGGATGAGGTTCAACAAGGCCAAGTGCCAGGTCCTGCACACTGGCCACAATAACTCCATGCAGTGCTACAGGCTTGGGGATGAGTGGCTGGTTAACTGTGAAGAGGAAAGGGACCCGGGGGTGTTGGTTGATGCTTGGCTGAACATGAGCTGACAGCGTGCCCAGGTGGCCAAGAGGACCAACGGCATCCTGGCCTGCATTAGAAATAGTGTGGCCAGCAGGAGCAGGGAGGTGATCTTCCCCTGTACTCAACACTGGTGAGGCTGCACCTCAAGTATTGTATCCCTACAAAAAAGATTTTTGAGGCCCTTGAGCATGTCCAGAGAAGGGCAACAAAACTGGTGAGGGGTCTGGAGCACAAGTCTTAGGAGGAATGGCTGAGGGAGCTGGGATTGTTCAGTCTGGAGAAGAGGAGGCTCAGGGGAGACCTCATTGCAATCTACAACTTCCTGAAGGGAGGTTGTGGTGAGGAGGGGTTTGGCCTCTTCTCTGAGGCAACAAACAGGACTTGAGAAAATGGCTGCAAGTTGTACCAGAGGAGGTTTAGGTTAGACATAAGTAAGAACCTTTTCTCTCAGAAAGTGGTCAGGAAATGGAATGGCTGCCCAGGGAGGTGGTGGAGTTGCTATCCCTGGCAGTGTTCAAGAGGTGTCTGGATGAGGAGCTGTGTGATATGGTTTATTGCTTGTGGTAGCAGTGGTAATGGTAGGACAGTTGGACTAGATGATCTTGCAGGTTGTTTCCAACCTTGTGATTCTATGATTCTTTTCCTAGCCTTGGCAAGGCTTCATCCTTAGGAATTTTTGTTGGATGTCCATTAGCATCCTATCTCATACATTATTGGGTAGCATTTGGTAACGTATCCCTCTACTTTGAGAGGGGTGTACATAGATTCCTCAATTATGTGTACTGATAGTTGGTTAGTTCCCACATGAATCTTCCAGAAAACTTCAGAAATTCTAACTGTTCAGCAATGCATCTTTAAACTGTTAACTGTAAAAATACTAACTGGGATGCTGCCATGTTTGCCAATATTGGGTTATTATGTAAAGAGCTGTTTCTGAACAATACTGGCAGTAGAGACATTGATGTTCTTTGTTTTCTGCAAGTGTATTCTCAAAGAAATTGTACTTAAGGTTTTTATGAATAGTTTTACTGTAAATAACTTATAAAATTAGCCCACGTTTGTAGATATGAAGATGCTCAGGAAGACAAATACTTTTAGGCACACAATTTTTGAAGCAGTCTGTTAGGCTTGCTAGGATCTGGAGGTCTGGTATGGCAGTGGAACTTGCTGACAGTTTTAAGTGGGATACAAGGGCCATGGGGATGTTTAAGTACAGATTCTCCTGTCTAACTGCAAATGACAGGAGTGCACAATGGGTTTGTGCTGTCAGGGAGAGGATGAGTAGAAAGGACTTAGAGCACATCTGCCCTGCATGGCACCATGCACTGCCCTGTCTGAGACCATGCAGCTTGTGGAAGAGCCAGAAAGCCTAACCCTGGGAGAATCTGCAGCAGCACCTTGAAAGGGAAACCAGACACAGTGGAGTTGGTTTTTTTTTTGCTGCCTGCCTTAGGCTGAAAAACTACATGGTCAAGTGGTGTTTCTGTTTTTAATGCAGAGAAATAATGTCCAAAGAGGTCATCAGCTGAATTTCAAAATGGAAAATGTACTTAATTTTAGTGGATAATTTTAAATGTTGCTCACAGATAATACAAGAAAAATAACTGAATCTGAATCTGAAAAAGTGAAAATGATGTTTATGGAAATCAACTGAAATGATGTCTTGAGCCATTGGACTGTAAAGCAGCTGTTTTGTTGTACAGCAAATTAGCTTTCCCTTTCAGACTATATACAAGAGTTGATGTTACTCAAAAACATTGCAGAATTTCTTAAATTCTGGCATGCTATGATGCTTAATAGCATTAAAACTCTTCCTGTTGGACATTGTGTCTAAGGAACCAGCAGGAAGCACTGAATTATTTCCTTATACATGGATGCTTTCCTCAGGTTGACTCTCATACTAGAAATCCTCTGTGGTCTTAGACTGAAGCTTCTACATCCATTCCTGAGGATGTCAAAGCAAGACTCTTAACATTTTCTGTTCCTGCTTTTATGAACTTTAAATTTGAATGTGTGAGGTTTTTAGGATCTCATGTTCCTGACCTTTCAGCTTTAAAAATTGTTGACTTTTTGTTTCCAGTAACATATGAATTTCCCAGAATAATCAGTACTTCAAAATGAAATAATTTGTACTCATCAATTCTGTAATCTGAAATTCTTAGTATTTTATTTCAAGAAACATAAGGGATAGGATATCATATTGTCTCTGTATCTGTGTTCTAACTGCCACTGTGAAATCTGTTATGTAAGAGCCCCTGTACAGTTCTGTCCTTTCACTGGGGTCAATGTTCCCAAAAGCGTGCATCCCTTTGAGTATAAAAATTGTAGTCTATGCCATCCAGATTATGCTTTCAGTAATTACTGTGGAAAATTTCAGCCCATCTGAAGTAAGTGTGAAAAATATAAAACTCTGTAAACTTCTTCCAGTTAGGAATCTCCCATGAGACAAGACATTGGACTGTCATCCAAAACATAGGTATTCGGTTTCCAGACTTGATGCTGATATGTTGTGTCACTCTAGGGAAGTTGCTCTGTATTTCTGTACCCTCTGTCATACTGGGGTAGGATCTGCTGCGTACTGTGTGTGTGGTCGTACTGTGTGCAGTAAGAGTCCCTTGAAGGCCAAGTGTGAGTTGTGATAAAATTACAAGTCCAAATGTTGGTACTCAATAGTCAACAAACAAGCAAGCTTTAACATGTCCCTATTCGCAGAGACTGGCAAGATCTTCTGGAAGACAAAGCATGAGGTCCAGCAGGGATACTTAATTTAAAGTCAGTGAGAACTACACATTAAAGATGCCCACAGTCTTTGTGTTCCATCTGTTGGAAATAATGGTAATTACAGGGCTCTGAAAAACCCTCTGGAATCCAAGAGTTAAAAAGCATTTTGCAAGGACAAGTAAAGTGAAGCGTGTGCATAATTCAGGGGTATTTCTATTGTCTGTCTGTCCACTTCTGTAGTCAGACATTTCATGCTTCCATGGTATCATTTATTTCCTTATCTGCAGAGGCTATAAATACGGTATTGCTTTTACTAGGCAGCTCTGACATTGGTAACAGACATTTATAGAACATGTTCGGAAATTAGTATGTTTCGCTTAAATGGACTGTCAGTGTAACGTCTTTAACAGTAATAAATGAGCTGTGATGATATTGTATCATTCAGAGAACCACATTTCTGCTGCAGTGCCACCCAGAAAATGTCTGTTTCCCTTTCTGACAACCATTTTTTGTTGCAGGAGAAGGACGGAATTCTTTGAACTTGTCAGTAAAGGTGGTTATGATTGGAATGCTAAAAACCATCGAGAAATATTTCGGTGAGCACTACCATTTCTTGCTTTCTGGTTATTTCAACATGTAACCATATTTGTTAAAGGAGATTCTTATGTCACGGAGGAAAGACTACAATGAGAAGATAGCTCGCTTTAAAAATGCGATCTGTGATATGAAACACATGATACGATTTCTAAATGTTACTAAACTTTAGCAGAGGTATAAACTTCACCTTCTCCGTTCCTATTTCTGCCTCTGTCATGTATTTTTCCCTTTCTCCCAGCCTCACCATTTACTGCTCAGCCTTTCTTCTCTTTCTCAAAAAACCGCCAGTACTCTGCCTTAGGACCCAAAGATCTTCCTTTTCTGCTTCCTTTTCTCTCCTCCTCTCAGCTGCTTTCTGTCACAGGCTACGTTTCTCTCATTCTTGTTGTCTGTAACTGGGAATTTGCAGATACACAATACTCTTCTAATACTCAAGAATGACCTGAGCATGCACCCTATTTAAATGGTGGGAGTGTATCCCAAACTTGAGACATATATGTGCATATTTGTGTATGTGTGTCTTATTACATCTCAATTTTGTTAAAATACTGTTTCCTTCTGGAAATTATTTTAAACCAAGAAAATTAGCCATCTTCTGTTTTCCATATCATTTCATCCACTCCTAATTTCAGATTCAGGCAATATATTTGATGCTTCATTTTCAGTGCCCTTGTTCTTCATTTAAACTTTCCTAGACTTTTATCTGCATCATGTACTGTACATAAACGCTTTCTACAGCTGAATGGTTTCTTTCTTCTAATGCATATAAAACACGGTTGTAGCTAGGTATTAAACTACAGTGGAACAGTATAGCTCATAGTAAATCTTAAATTATTATTGTAGATGAGCAGTAGAAACTGCTTAAACAGTGTCTGGGTTGCCTCCTGTGATTATAGGTTCTCTTGCAACAGCAGCCACTTACAAATAGGCATATAAATTAATCCAGTTTGCAGGTATTAGTATATAATAATACCCTTGCTTATATCATGTGAAGTACATGCTTTCTGGTATTTATATTTATATGGTATATATATTTATATAAATAGTATCAGGGGTACTGCAAAATTAGTGTTATTCCCTTGCAGTGCCATTACTTTTCTAGTATGCGGTTCACAATACCAAAAATTCATTGTCTGATGACTTGAAATACAATTATGCTTCCCGGGCACAATTGTGATGTGAAAGCCATGCTGATCGCTGGGGTTTCAAACGTGTCATTCTTTTCCGGAGGAAAAGGTAACAGGGCTGACATTTTATACGTATATATATTATTTATTTATGCATCCAGAGCAGAGTTGTTCAGAAATCCAACAAAGGTTGATTCAGCTTGTATTGTTCATTTCTGTTTTTCAGATCAATGCTAATGACAGCCTGTGACCTTGGAGCTGTGACCAAACCGTGGGAGATTTCAAGACAGGCAAGCCATGATTAATAGCAGGGCTGGGAGGAGGCGGGACTGGCGGGACAATATTCCCAGGGCCCTGGCTTACAAGGGACCGAAACTGGAATCAATTTACAGCAGTATTAATGCTATAAAAAATAGCAGGGGGTTCTGTAAGAAATACTTTATTGCTTAATCTTTCCATGTATGCATGCTGGTGAGCAGCACGTTGGTACCTGAGGAGATCTGGTTTTACAACCTCTCCTCTTATTAACCTTTTAAATCCATATCAATAAAAGGATGGATTAAACAACAACAATGAAAACCACGAGCTACATGTAGCTGCACTTCCTTGGTTTGTCCTAAGGCTTTCCTTGGCCATGGCAGCATCTTCTTTAAATCAGGAGATGATCTGCAAACTTTGATTAACATCAGATTTTTCTGTTTAAGAGAATATATTTATTTTTATCAACTTTGGGGGGAAAAAAAAAAAGTGTAGCATGGTGATGTTTTTAGCATTCTGTACTTAGAGACAAAGAAAGATTCAGGCTTTTGCTGCTGAGTAGGCCCAGTAGAAATATATACATAAAACTCAGGTCCAAATGCTGACTACAGCTAATAATTATAACACACGTAAGCAAGTGTCTGGCTTACTAAACAAATGCTTGTTCTAATGGCCTTGTCCTTTACCATACAATTTTCCCTCTTCTAGACATCTTCTCATAATTTGCACCTTTCATTAATATTTCTTCTTTCCCATTCTAGTAATTCTCCATCCCTCGTTGAAGTCCAGAACAAGTTAGTAGCAGGTTGGGTAGTGAGATAGGGTTTTGGAGGAATATGCAACATAATGAAGCAGATAGGAAATATATCAGCACAACCGGGTGTAGGTGAGCAGCTGCAGTGAATTTGACAGGCTTAATGTGAAAGTGACAGCTAAAAAGATGAGCTGAAGATGAGAAGCTGGACAAGCGAGCTAGCTATCAAGGTAGGAGCAGCCAGATTTCTTGGATAGGGACACAGAATGTAACGGGAGATGAAAGGGAAGGGACTTGTGCTCCTCTACAGCAGTACCAAAATAACATGCACACATTAACCCAGTAAAGAAGCGTTAATGAAGTGAGGGCTTCAGCTCAGTTTGCAGTTTTGTCTAATGAGTCTTTCTTTTTTGCTTTTATAAGCAGACTAGAACAATAGTCCTTTTAAGACTATTACCTCTTCTTGTCCAGAATGTGACCACCACAAGAAATCGGGGAATTTGCTCTTATTCTGCAGTAGGAAAATAAGTCACAAGCCCTTAAAGTGCCACTTAGCCACTGCTGCAATTTGTGCAAATTCTCCTCACTTTTCCTCTTTACCTCTGTGAGGTTCTCAATTTTCCTTGACAGCCAAAATATCAGGGAGGGTCTGTTTCCCATGCTGTGAATCTTTGTGTTATGGTGTTCAACGTTCTGGCAATGTGTTCTTTATTTCTATCATTTTTGAGGTTTGCACTTGAAAATTCCCCTGGAGCCTGGTGTACAGGTTTACTTAGTATTGAAAAACCCTGAGTGAAATACTAGCTGGTTGAGCAGAGAAACTAATCAGTGCACAGAAAAAAAGTAGAAGCAATAGTTGGACCTCAAGTGTACGTAAAGGAAAAAAATATGAAAAGCAAGGGAGAAAGAAACTGAAGTATATGCATAAACAAATAAAGATGAAATGTATGAAGAAAAATATTAGGAAGAGAGGACAGATAGAAGAGGGAAAGGGACACAAGGAGAAATGTGATCAGAATAGCAGTGAGACAGGGAAGAGACTACATCTTGATTATTTTTATGCAGTGCACTTGGCAAACACTTAATTGCTGTTAAGTTGTTAAATTATTCCTCTGTCTGGAGCATTGATCCAAAATTTTATTAGTGTACTGGGATTACATACGTTATAAAGTTCCAAACTGCGTGATAGCCTGGTTCAAGATTTAAGAGTTCTTTATAACACCACTTCACCTGTTTGCAATTTATTTTGGTACTTCCTATTTCAAGTTTAGCAAGCTCAGGATTTGTGTATGTTAGATACTGTGCAATTGCTAGATCAAGAAATGTTGAGACTTATAAAGTGCAGGTTCTCTTGGTTCACCTTGTTATGCTGTGGTGTTATGAAATCATGTCTTACCTCAAAATCACTTGAAAACTATAAGCAGGCATGACAGGAATTTTAGGAACTGAATTCTGATTTCAGTAAGTTTCCTTTTTTTTCTTCAGCATCTCATGTGTCACCTGTGCTGACTTTCTAATCCTTGCGTTCAGAAAGGGCTGTTATATCAAAATTGTTCAGTGTTTGGTTTCTTAAAATTCCTATTAATTTTGTTATTAAATTTCATGTACTTCTGAGATTCTATGCTGAATATTCTATTCTAGGCTGAGTAGAATAACAATCTTCGTTCACAAAAATCAGAAAGGCACATTCCAACTTCAACCTGCCATGTGTTGCTTTGGATTCAATATGATAATCGTAGTCTGAGCTCATATATACTGTAGTGATGACAGTTGTGGGGGGGGAAAAAAAAAGAATAAGTCTAGTGGGGAAAAAAACTTAATGATTTTATATTAAATTACGACAACAGAGGTTACTGGTTAATTAGGTTTGTTTGACAAGTGAAGTTCTTTATACAGGGCAACAGCCTGTAAATACCCCAAGAGCTCTTACACATTTTACAAAGCACTTTTACAGACATAATTACGTGTGCCAAGAAGAAGCTATATTTTCTATTCTGTTCTCAATACTTGACTAAGTTGCACACAACTACAGAGTGCTGCCTCCACACTGCAATGTCTTTCCCCAGTTGACTCCCTTTTCAAAAGTGATAAACATGACTCTTTCTGGTTTTGGCTATTTATATCCACTTCTGTGCCCCACTCCGAAAAGTATACAAACATGTGCCTGACATCAGTCATGCAACTAGGGCTATTAACTTCTTTACAGCAAAGCACAGGCTGAAGTCATGGTCTAAGCAGAAACTTAGTACCCTAAAAGTTATGTTACGAGTCCTCTAAAGTTTATTGTGATTTGTATTTTAGGCAGCTGAGCTGGTAACCAGTGAGTTTTTTGAACAAGGAGATAGAGAAAGATCTGAACTGAAACTCATTCCTTCAGTAAGTATTTATCACTTCTGAAATATTTATTTAAATAGGATAAGAAAATAAAATTGGATTCTTGGAAAAAACAACGACGACTGCATTTTGGTATGGAAATAAATATCTTTGTATAAAACAAAAGCTCTCTCCAATAAGGAGGTGCACTGAAAGCCACACATAAAAAGCAGTATAGGCAACAGAGTCACTTTTCCTTTGAACCCATCTCCATTTTCTTTACCTGCTCACAGGTTTATTCTGTCATTCAATTTTTTAGGCAACAGGTATTATTTTTAATAGATGAATTCAAATAAAATGACGATATGCTTATGGAAATTAAGCTGCTGCTGTCTGCTATGTGTTATTTGATATATCAAATACGGAAAAGCATTTCTGTAGCTATGTAACCAAATACAACACGGATTGAAAGGTTACATTAACTGGAATATAGGCAGATGGGTATAAATGTCAAACAAGAATGAAGAAGAAAAAAAAGATCGTTGAAATGTTCAGTGAGTGAAGAGAGAGCGTTATTCAGGTTAAATACTTCAAACCATTTACAAGCCATTATCTGAAGGAAATGAAAACTGAAGGAAACAAGGAAGTCTTGAAAAGAATCTAACTTATAAGCCAGGTGCTGTTGCTTCTAAAAATACTCATTCTGGTGGCTCAGATTTGTTCTCTGTTTGATAACTGGCACATGAGCATACTACCTGTGGTGATGTAATGAAATAAAGGTTAAAAAGCTTGCAGAAAATGTTCAGATGGAGAAGTGTTAGTCAGCAAGATAATGTGATCTTCTCTTGTATCTCAAGGGTCTTTTTATTGCATTACCCTTGGAAAGATCTGAAAAGGGCAGTATTATTCCAAATGATTTTAACAGGAAATAGAGTTTTCAAAGATCACACACAAGATTCTCAATTAAGACTAAATCCTCAAATCTTAGCTCCATGTCTTATTTAGATATTCTGTGTGATAACTGTATGTCAGAAAGAGCAGGACACAACTAGAAGAAGTCAGCCAAGTACTTCATATGTATAGCCTAGAGATGGTGTGAAGGGAAAGAAGGAAACTAAGTTTTCTGAAGAGACATCAAGCTGGGGGCAGATGAGCCTAGAATAAGAACAGACTTTCTAATGAAACACCAGAAAGATTTAAAATTTGGAATTTTCAGAGAATAAAAGAAGAAATTCAATGAATGGTATGGATGAGCCACTAGAAGGAGGATTAAGATTCTGTAGAAGGAAAAGCTGCTGGACTAAGTGATCTCCTACAGGGTACAGAGGAAACTCACATTCAAACCCTTGAGAATTCATTTTCTTCCATCTCTTTTCATAGAGCAGTACAACCAATAATTGTGCCTCTTAAACATCAGCTTAGGTCTCTCTAACTTACTCTCTATGGAGTGTAGAAGGTCACTGAATTAGGATGTTTCCAGAAGAATAAATTAATAACTATTCCCCAGACTGGTCTGTTGACTCCCCGTGCTTTGGCTTCATGGCCATGGCTGGTTTTCCAAAAAGAGTCTGTAGCTGGGAGGGAGGGAGCCAGCCCAGACCTCATGTGAGAAAAGAAAAAAAATCTGCTCAAAGGTATCTACTTTACATCTCTACAGGAGGTTTCTTTCCATCTCAACCCCAACCGCAGAACATTTATTTTACATTATAGACTTATAAAAGTCAAATACATTCACCCTAGAAATTTAGAAACAGAAATCAAAATAAACAGTTTGTTTTTCATGCCAGACAAAGCAATAAGAAAGATTGCAAAGACTGACTATGGTTTACAAAATGTTTTGGTTGTAACAATTTGATCATGGCTCTGAAGCACTGGATGATATGCCTGTAAAATACTCTGGTGTAATAAACCATGACAGTTTTGTTCCCTTCTCGATTCAGGCCATTTTTGATCGGAACAGGAAAGATGAACTACCCAGGTTGCAGCTCGAGTGGATTGATAGCATCTGCATGCCATTGTATGAGGTAATTTTTACTTACTGCTCCTGTAGAGCCCAGAGAAGATTGTTCTTGCCTCTCTAAGGAAAAAAGTTTGCTTATTGTGCAGCCTTGAAGGCCCCAGGAATGCTTTATCTCTCTTTGCGTTTAACAAGAGACTGAACTCTATGCAGAAATCTTCAGTTTCCCTGAAGACAGTTTTATCTGTAAATATAATTTCTCTCTGAGTTATGAAAGCTGTTAAGGTAACTGTTCATTTTGTTTGAGACAAACTGATTCTTGTTGTGGCAAGGTGTGTAGCACTCAGCAGGGTGGTGCTGATGGGATGGACTCACCATGTGCTTCTGTCAGCCCTGTGCCTGGGAACACATCCAAATACAGGTGATGCAGGCGATACTCAGGGCTGAGCCTTTGCACTCCCTTCTGGTTCCTTTTCAAATTGTTGAAGGACTCCCTAGGCCAAGCCTTCAAGGTCAATGACAAGTGATTTGTAGTTTAACCTACGTGCTGTTTAACTGGGAGCTTAATCTTTCAAATGTTTCTATACAGGTTGCTTGGATGTTTGGTATATGGTATAAATGCTCAAGTACTACTTGGTTGGGCTCTGAATAATGTTTCTCTCATCGGATTAAACTAGCTTTGGAATTTAACTTGTGTGTAACATGAACTTCACCATTTCAACTTATTCTCTCTTATCTGCACAGAAAGCAGAGCTACACAGGCAGAATGATAAATGGAAAATGACACTATAGAAACTTAACCATCAATAACTGTGTCAGCCAGAATTTTCCTACATGCTGAAACCACAGAGACCACCTTCCATTTTATTAAGAAAGATGATGCGCTTCCTACCCACTCCACCTCATGGCATTTGAGATTGCCACTAAAGAAGGGGCTGGCCAGTAGCAAAGGCAACCCCAGTTGTGTGACAGCAAGAATGTGAGGTGGGCTAATGCTTTGACAGGAAATCCTGTTTCTTTCTCATGTCAGTCTTTATCAGGATAAAATAATCTGTAAATCCATAGGTTTCAGCCAATTAAGAGAAGGCAAGCACAGGAGACCCATAGAAAGTTACATTTTTTTAAATACTAACCTTGTCTTTGACACCAACGGGTAGGGAGAACTGACACTGGAGAAAAACTCTTTAAAAACAATGTTCCCTTCAATATAATAGTTCATATTACACTAGAATGCATATTATATCAGAATTCATAATTCATGATCTGAAAAAGTACAATAAAGGAGGAAAAACTGATCATCAGACCATCCTCTGCATGAGAAGACTAGATCTGAGCGCTAATGCTCTGGTTAGTTAGCTCCATCTTAGCAGGAGATCTCTGGAGAATATATTCACAACTGATTTCCCTGTTTTCTGCTGTCTTTGTATCATGCTGTGCAGCTATTAGCCTGCTGCTCAACAACTTAAAAAGGAGACACCATCAAACCTGGAAGTCATTGCAGCACCAGCCTTAGGGGTAAACAGAAAACTTGATGTCACAGTATCACACTGCAGGAGATTCTCTCTTGAACATGTAGTCATATTTTAATTTTCACAGCCAGCTTAATCAAACCTCAATACACATCACATCAGCAGTGTAGTCAGGCATTCTAAATCTTCTGGTTAGGGCTGCCTGAGCACACTCTAACTATGACAAAGTCCTAGATTCTAATTTATTTTTTCCTTTCTAAATATGTTCTTTAAAATCCTAGCCTCTATAATCTGTTGTTGGGACTGCATGTGGGGACAGAATGGGTTACATCATTACAAGTGCAACATAAAGAGGCAGAGTGGCAGCTGACAAATTAGTAAAATCTTAGCAGTACTTATGTAGCTCACTAGCACAAAGCTTTTATAAGCAAAACATTTGACACTTGTTTTGATACCAAAATTACAACATTAAGCCATAAAGAACAAACTCAAGGCTTTTGCATATAATTACTTCATGCAAGTGATGAAGTCCTGGATCTATCTGGACACATCCTGGTGTCCAGAGGCCTAAAGAGAGCTCTGCAGGGAAACGCATGCATCCATACCGACACAGCTGCTGAGGCAGGACTAATGCTGTGCTCCATTTTACTTGACACTCAGACAGCAAAAGTGGTCTCTACTGTCTGCAAATGCTGGGAACTCCCACTGAAGTCAGATTGGAGTTTTTTGCTTTGACAAGATCAGCGGAGGCCCCTGAAGTAGTCCTAAGAGTAAACTATTCTTGGCAGCTCTGGATTTTTGAAGCGTGCAATATAGAAGGAACTTCATTACCAGACTTAAATGGGCACTCTGGTGGCATTGGCTGTGCTGCAACAAACTGCACCTTGTCCACAGTCCAGGCTTATGAGTTTAGTCATATACCAGAGTGCCCACAGAGAACATTTGATAATTACAACCTTTAGTATATTTTACAGAGCTTTATAGAGAGTTGTGGCCTCCCCCTGCCTTACGCTTTTCTCCTCCTTTCTTGAAAGATTCTTTGGGACTTTATCAGTCTTCTGGGGAGATTTGGCACTATCAGCCTCCTCTGTATGCATCTACCCACTTTTCTGCCTTTCCTCAGAACAGCTCTCAACTTTGAGGTGCAGTTTTTCTCCCAAGAGAAGGATGATTAAGCCTCCTTCAACAGGGAGATGGGTGTCACAGCAGTGCATACACACATAAGGAGATTTATACCTTTGCTTACCTGGCTGGAACTATTCTGATTTTTGGGTATTTTTTTTGTAAGAAGTTTTAAAAGCAACTAGCAATTCCTCAAGATCTGTGAACCTTCTGCTAGCCATCATGAAAAGGTCTACAAAATATGCTTTATAAGTTAATGTGGAGCTTGAAGCTGAATATATGTAGATACATAATAACTGGGATATTTAAAAAAATTATATACAGATTTCCCATATCAGAGCGTCTAAATCAAAACCTTCTTGCGTTTGCTCTGTAAGCATGACTCTGCTCTTGGCACAAGGTAAGCTGTGGCTCTGCTCCCTCACTGCCCCACAAATGCTGCTTGACTTGGGAATTAGGCCACCTCCAGTATCAAAGTGCCACAGTAATAAAATCTGTTTCCTCCATACTGTGTATCAAAGGACTGTGAAGATAAAAACTTCCCAATTTTTTGTTCATTGCTTTTTATTACACTTGGGACATTATAATTTTATTGAATTTACTTTTTTGCTACCACAGTGATCAGAGTATTTTTATATGACAGTAAAGTTTTTGCCTTGAATAGCAGAACTGCCACACATTTACTCTGAAGTTCTGATTTTAGGGGCTTTAGTTACGCTTTACTGCATCGCATTTGCTCTTCATTCAAAAATGTTAGCAAAGAAAGCACTGTCAGTAGACAGATGAGAAACAAGCATATTAGAATAATCATTTGTAAGGAACAATACATTTCTATGATCTGTAGAGCATTTCAAAATGCACTAATGTAGCTTCAATATGAAGTAATCATCCCCTTTTTTTCCACAGAACACGGTATAAAGGGGAATCACATGCAACTCAAGCAGAAAATCTAAGATATCCCACTGAAAATAAAACACTATGGCTACACTGACAGCTGCATTCACTGTATTGAGAAAGCACTCTGTACCTATTTGGACATAAACGTTCTTGTAACATGTACAGCATTTCAATCATTAAGGCAAATTACTTCTCTGAACCTACTAAGATACTAAGAGTTTCAACACCAACAGATTCCTGCCCTCAACTCTATGGCTTGCGCACACCTAATGCAGGACCAGTTGCAGATTTTTTTTTTTTAAACTCAGATTAGATTTCTCTGTGGGGAACAGATGGAGCAGGATAGTGAAGATCTTACTCTTTTTAATCATTATTTTTCCTCACAAACAACATCAAAGCATTAGTGATTCACTTCAAAGAAAAGACACTAAGAGCAGCCCGGCTCTGTTCACAGCATTGTTAGGCAGAGACAGTAATGCTATGAATAGCAGGGCCAAAGGCCATGCACTCTGCTTCTAGGCAGATAAATACATAGTCAGGTAGTCAGTGACGATGACAGCAGCTATTTAAATTTAAGGGAGATGTCTTTGTGGAAGATAAAGAAGCTCATGGCTTATACAACTTATGCGTGCCTGAGGTTGCCCTGCTCACCTCTACCTCCCTGCTCAGTTGAGCTGCGCCATTTCAGTGCTATTTTTAGTGCTATTCAAGATTTTCTTGGGTAAGGAGAGCTTTTAACACATAATAGCATATACAAAATTGAATTTGTGTTACTTCATTCTAGATTCTGGGGAAAAATCAGGAAAGAGCAGAAATATTTATTTATTTTAGCAAGTACTTTAAATGTAGTAGACTTTATGTGGAAGGACAAAGCCTACCCTTATCACACTGACGCACTCGGCAAGAAGTCTAATTGCTTTGTCTACAACTTTACAACGGCACACACAGTGGATATGCCTATCTTCCTACAGTCTGGCCTTATAATTAAATCCATCTTTTGGGTAATTGCCCAATGGTGATGTAACTGCAAGAAACATTTATTCTACTCATTAGCAGACATTAAAGGCACAGGGTAGTATCAGTAGAGCTTCTGCAAAAAATAAATAAATAAATAAAAAAGTACAGAAGTCTCCAATGTCCATGCTTTAATTTCTCCAGTTCAAAAAATTGACTTTGACACCTGAATTAGGACTGCATGTGCATACATTGATTTTTTTTTTTCCCCAAAAGTTTATACTCTACTTACAACTAGTAGGCAAGAGATTAATATTTCAATATTCCTTTGCAGAAGAGAAGGAAAGATATGCTTTAGGAATCACTCTTATACTGCCATGTCCTGATACAGCCCTTCCTCATTTACTAAGACTGTATTTTTCCCTCAGACTCTCAATGAAAATTTTACATAAGGAAATATCATAAGAAATTCAAGGTTTGGACCATTCCTCTAGAAGTCCAGGATGGGTTGTATGGTATGACTTAGACCTTACTCAGGCAAGAGTCTCTGGATGTAGCCAAAGCTGTGTTTCAGTTCCAATGTCCTCTCTGCATAGTCACAACTAAGACATTTAAAAAAAAAAAA